ATATTTTTATGTATTAATTGCAAAAAAAAATAATAAAAGCAAATGGTGGAAAATAAAAAGTAACAACAACCATGCTACAACATTTAATAATAACACACTTACCATCTTTCACTTGCCTTCAAATATTAGCTTTTATTAGTTATGAAGGAAAAAAGGTTATCGTTAAAATAAATAATAATATGCAACAAAATAACTAAGCGCTAATTTTTAATTAATATTAATTTCGAACCCTAACAAATCAAACGTATCCAAATTTAATTCATTTTCTAATAAATAAACAAATTAATTAATTTAGAAATTTTGAGACGTATCCAAATTCGTAATATAAAAATAATTGACTTAAGTACGTTAACCGATACCACTTCTACAATACAACTACTAATTACTGTAATTGTGCAAAAATGATAAAACAGGGGAACAAAACAGGAACTACTGCAATAATTAATGACAAACGCAATTGTAACTGTCTACGCATTAAGTATAGAAAACAACAAAATGTTCAAAAAATCAACAATAATAAATAATAATTGCAGGGGGTAGGTTAAAACTGTGCAACATTAAAAACTATACTATGTTTAATTACAAAAAAAATAAATAAAAAACAGACTCACCGGAAAAACACCACCGCCCTGTCACCCTTGCGAAGACGACGACGAAGACGATCAGGATAACGATCAGGATGGCGACGACGATCCCAATTATGGAAGCGATGCCCAAATCTAAGCCTGGAATTTAAAATTAATTATATTTTGTTAATTATGTAGTAAAAACATATCAAAGATTGTACAGCGGGTGGAAACAGATACTCACTGTGCATACTGTATCTAATGAATTTTTGAATTCCTGTTCAAGGGTAAGCGTGTAAGAAGAAAATGAAAAAAAAATTGAGTGCATAGTGATGTGCTTTTTTTTATTTATTTTTTTTTTTTAATTAGAAGTGATGTAAGATAGAGTCCGTTCACTTAGAGAAAGGTACACGATGCTGGAACAATGTGCGTGGACTTAAAGGGCGTAACCGTTGGAAGTTTTTATGGCATACGATTGGGTTTTGATCGGAAACAACTGAAGTCATATTCCGGGGACCCGCCTACAACCGATATTCGTTTGTATGCGTCGCCCACGCTGTACCTTCCTCTAAATGAACGGACAATAACATGGAAAAAGTAATTTTGAAATACCTCTTTTAATTTTGCAATGCTTTAATGACCAAACCATAACAAACCAGTCTTACATTAAATTACTCGAAAAATAGACAACAAATGACTTACCTTCAGGTTCCGGACTGGTCGATATGAGGATGCTGTAATCCTGTGAACCCATGTCATTGTATGCTGTAAGGACGTATTGGGTTTCTGTGTCTTGTTTAGAGATGGCTGCTATTCTCAAAGTGGCTCTGTAGCGGCCTTTACCCTGTTACAAAAAGGCATATTACGTTACGCTACTACGCCAAAAAAAAAAAAAATAGAAAAACAACAACCAATTAATGTGAAACATACCAAGTCCTCGACCACTTCTGCCTCAATCCTCCCTGATATGTCACTGGTACCCTCTCTAAGTCTATTGTCCCTTATTGTCCACTCAACGTGAGGCTTAGGGTTTGCTTCAAATTCTATCGAAATAATGCCCATTTGCCCGATTTCGTATCCAAACTTGTCAATGGGACTTTGCAATGGTAGGGGAGGATCTAAAAAAAAAAAACAAAAAAAAATTAAAAATTAATAATACGTAATAAATATGAAGAAAATAATACACATTAAATTTACAACTCACATTTGACGTTGAGTTGACGAGAGGCCAAGTTGTTGACACCTTGAAAAGCCGGGTGTTCTGCCAAACACCTGAGGGACCTACCATTGTCCGATGGCACCAAGGTTCTGGTAAGGTTCTGCTCGATCGAGTATAATTCTTCTTTAGCCATGTCTGTTATTGTAGGAATTGTCAGGTCTTCTAAAATTGGCATGTCATCTAAAGACACAAAACAAAAATTAAAAACTTTACGTCGAGGCTGTATACATATCATACCATCAACTGATTGTATTTCAAAATATTTAATTTAAGAGTTCTGAAGGTAGAGTCCGTTCACATAGAGAAATGTACTGCATTAATAGGCGTAACTGTTACGATTGGGCTTTAATCGGAAACATCTGACGGTAAACATTTCGAGGATCCGCCTACGACCGACATTTGTTTGTGCACATCGCCCACGCTGTACTTTTCTCTAAGTGAACGGACTATACCTACCTGCCAAACTGAACCTACAACTCGGCAAATAGACGTGACAGCAACGAAAGCTAAATTTTTATTAATTAATTCCTGACTAAAAATTTGTGTTTTTTTTATCAAAAATTAAAATCTAAATACCAACATTATTTTATTTTTAACACTCACCTAGGTACCAGCTAATATTGGCCACGGGTCTTCCATCCCTTACGATACAGTAAGCCCTTAAAACGTCTCCGACTTTGTAAATGTTCGTGTTATCAGTACCGGTGCTTATTTCTAGTTGTGGAGCCCGCGGGGCTTCTGTTAGAATTAAACAAAGTGATAATAAGTTTAAATTCAAAAATCTACCCCAAAAAGTGTTCTTACTTGCCACGGTGAGACGCATTTCTCCAAACGGTTCCTGGTACTCAGTTTGAATACCCAGAGAGCATTTTATTAAACCGTTGTTGATTTCTTTGACGTGGTCAATCGTGACACCACACTGACCTGCTTGAAGACCTGCCCCATAGTAAGCAATCTGTAGATAAAAATACACGATGGTAAAAAAAATTTAAAGGTACAACTTTTTCTTAAGTATTATTTACCCCTCCTTTCGGTCTTAGAGCTGGGTTTAAGTTAAGGGTTTGTTCCCCCGGTATTTCGATTCGGCAATACTGGATGGGGACTCCCACTCGACAAAGGAATGTGACATTTTGACCCGGAAGGGCTACTACTTCTTTAGGTGTTACCTCGACCAATACCGATAATGATCCTGAAAGAAAATTAAATTCTAACTAATATTATAAATATACACATTGTCAGGGGCACAGAAAAGGTCATAGGGTACCTCCTACACAGGAAAAAGCTATTATTCCCGAGGGATCCAAAAATTATTTTAATGTGATCGTCAATGATCTTTGACACGTTTTTTGTACACACATTGTCAGGGGCCCAGAAAAGAACATAGAGTAACTTTTATCCAGAAAAGAATACCGTTCCCGAGGGAAAGAAAAATTAGTTTTAAGTTAACATTTTCATAATAATGTAGTAGAAGTAAAGGTCAAAAGTATAGGGTTGTTCGGAAAGTTATTTCGTTTTTTCCCGACAGAGGATTTAATTATATTCTTATGCACCCAACTTCACATTTAAGCCGTATATTTTTTATATGCTTTGAGAGCTCATATAGCAAGGCTTGTGTGTGAAAAATTCCAATTAATTCTACGCAGTAGTTTTTGGTTGGTGCCCTTTTAAATATGGAGAGCGATAAGCAGCATTTTCGACATATCTTACTGTTTTACTACAGAAAGGGTAAAAATGCTGTTCAAGCCAGAAAGAAATTGACTGATGTGTATGGAGAAGGTGTGTTGACAGTACGCCAGTGCCAGAACTGGTTCGCTAAATTTCGATCCGGCAATTTTGATGTCGAAGATGCACCACGTTCGGGAAGGCCGGTTGAAGCTGATAAAGACGCGATAAAGGCATTAGTTGATGTGAACCGGCGAATAACAACACGTGAGATCGGATTGAGGTTAAATTTATCAAATTCAACAGTTTATGACCACTTGAAAGGCCTGGGATTATCCTCGAAGCTCGATGTATGGGTTCCCCATGTTCTCACAGAGAGAAATCTGTGTCGCCGCATTGACGTCTGCGATTCGCTTCTCAAACGTCACGAAAATGATCCGTTTTTGAAGCGCATCATCACTGGGGACGAAAAATGGGTTGTATACAACAACGTCAAACGCAAGAGGTCATGGAGCAAAAAAGATGAACCGGCTCAAACCATTTCCAAAGCCGATATTCACCAAAAAAAGGTGATGCTGTCTGTTTGGTGGGATTTTAAAGGAATCGTTTTTTTTTAGCTTTTACCGGATAACACAACGATTAATTCGGAAGTCTACTGTCATCAGCTGGACAAACTGAATGATGCACTTCAACAGAAAAGGTCAGAACTAATCAACAGGAAAGGTGTAGTGTTTCACCAAGACAACGCGAGACCTCACACAAGTTTGGTCACTCGCCAAAAGCTTTTACAGCTTGAATGGGATACAATGCTACACCCACCATATTCTCCAGACCTGGCACCATCGGATTATTATTTGTTCCGGTCACTCCAAAATTTTTTAGACGGTAAAACCTTCACCTCAAATGAGGAGGTCAAAAACCTCCTCGATCAGTTTTTTGCCAGCAAAGACCAAAAATTTTATGAGCGTGGAATTATGCTACTACCAGAAAGATGGCAAAAGGTGTTGGACCAGAACGGTCAATATATAATTTAATAAAGTATTTGTTTATTATACGAAAACTGTCTTTCATTTCCACAAAAAAAAACGAAATGACTTTCCGAACAACCCCATATATGCAGCTTATATCAAATTAAAGGTCTCCCTATTCTGCGATTCTACATTCGAGAAAGAGTGCGGGACGGCTGGCCACACGGCTATAAGGAGCGCTATAAGAATGCTCGCATTTTCGTGAAACTTTTGAACGAAAAGTTCGAATTGTACAGAAGAATTTTCTTTTGGAAAATTTTTTCCAGTAAAAAGCTGTAACACGATTTATTTAACTGAGCACCTCTTCTGTCGAATCAAATTCTCTCCCTTCCAATTTGATATTATTCCATTTCATGTTATTTAATATTTGACACGTTCCCTACTTTGATATACCGGATATTCCTGGAAAATCGCAAGTTTCCCTTTTGTCTCTTTCGGATCTTTCACAAACCCCTCACGAACAAAGCGTGCAATGTAGTACAACAGAAACGAAAATCAAACGGCAGACGGATTTTGTTACGAAATCAATACAATTCTTCGAAAGCGAAAAGCAACAGATATATAAAATTTAATTTGAATTACTTATAATGAAGCAATCGTAAAATAAAGTAACAATACGTTAATTACACCAGTTTAATTAAAATTGTAAGGTCACTCATTAATTGTTTACCCAATTTCATTTTTATTTGCTACGGATTTAAAAAGAGCTGAGGGAGTAGTAATCTAAAAAGTTAATTCTGCACAAAAAACAAATGAATCCTTTCGCTTGTAATACAAGTCTATAAAAGACAAGTATAAAATTAGTGAACTAATTTTTAAAACAAATGTTTAGTTGCTATTTATATTGTAACGAATGAAAGGTCTCTCGACCGACTGTTAAAGAGAGCAAGTATTCGGATAACAAAAGAGAGAAAAATACGCTCGAAATGGAATTTTACAACAGAAGAAAAGAAGAAACACTTTAAATAATCGTACACTAAATGATGATATGACTATTTGAAATGGTACAGCTTTTAAGCAATTAAATTAAACTTAATTCACTGATTACCGAAATTACCCTCTATATATGACTAAATCAACACACTGAAACTATTTCTTTGTATCATCAACAGTACAAAGATTATAATATTAATTAATATAGGGATTTAACATCAATTAATTATTATCAACAAACATTTGTTAAAACTGAGTGCTCCTAATTTTTATAACAAATGCATCAAAAATCGCAAAATTCCTACAAAAATAACGTATTAATTTCTAAAACAAATTTTTGGTTGCTATTTATATCGAAATGAATGAAAGGTCTCCCGACTGACTGTTAGAGAGAGCAAGTATTCGGATAACAAAGGAGAGAAGAATACGCTCGAAATGTAAGAAGAAATACTTTAAATATACGAACACTAAATGATGGTATGACTATTTGAAATGGTACAGCTTTTAAACAATTAAATTAAACTCAGTTCGTTGATTACCGAAATTACCCTCTATATATGACTAAATCAACACATTAAAATTATTTCTTTGTATCATTAACAGTACAAAGATGATCATATTAATTAATATAGGGATTTAACATCAATTAATTATTATCACCAAACATTTGTTAAAACTGAGCGCTCCTAATTTTTATAACAAATGTATCAAAAATCCCAAAATTCCTACAAAAATAGCGTATTAATTTCTAAAACAAATTTTTGGTTGCTATTTATATCGAAATGAATGAAAGGTCTCCCGACTGACTGTTAGAGAGAGCAAGTATTCGGATAACAAAGGAGAGAAGAATACGCTCGAAATGTAAGAAGAAATACTTTAAATATACGAACACTAAATGATGGTATGACTATTTGAAATGGTACAACTTTTACACAATTGTAATTAAACTCAGTTCGTTGATTACCGAAATTACCCTATATATATGACTAAATCAACATTAAAACTATTTCTTTGCAACATTAATAGTACAAAGACTATCATATTAATTAATACACGGTTTTAATATCAATTAATTATTATCACCAAACATTTGTTAAAACTGAGTGCTCCTAATTTTTATAACAAATGTATCAAAAATCCCAAAATTCCTACAAAAATAGCGTATTAATTTCTAAAACAAATTTTTGGTTGCTATTTATATTGAAATGAATGAAAGGTCTCCCGACTGACTGTTAAAGTGAGCAAGTATTCGGATAACAAAGGACAGAAAAACACGCTCGAAAAATGCTAAATTGCTAAACTATTGTTAAGTATATGAGAAATATGGAATAATAATTTAATAACAGAGATATTGAAACTCAAATGATATTGATTACTCAAGACAAACTTGTCAAGTTTTTGAAATATTTAAACTCAGTTGTTGTTTCACAACAAATATACTTAGCAATAATTAAATTAAGAAGAAAAAATAAAATGAAAAGTCCTGATAGCCATAAAATAATAACCGTTCTTTTTCTTAAGAAATTACACCCTTTTAAACATCGCGCTTTATTTTTAAAATAGTTCCAATTTCACGATTACGTTGTAATGATACTGGAAGGGTAATTCAATGGGGTACCGCCGTTTTCACGCATATTACCAAACAAAAATATGAAAACAATTTATTAGCTTCTCAAGAAAGAAAAAATTCGGTAATATACGAGTCTATATTCGAACTGATCCATTTTGAGGACACTTTTCTTGTTTGTCTGTCTCTTCGTCCTCTTGTTGCGCAATTTGTTTCCCCGAAAGGGTTGAAACGGTTTGATGGATTACTTCTAACACAGTGTCGAGAACAAACAAGCAAACAAACAAACAAACAAACAAACCAAGAAGGCAGTTGTAATAATATGGGGGTGAATGTGTGGCGTTTTAAGTTGGCGAAGTAAACCGAAATGTCAATATGAGAAAAGCGGACAAATGGGTTGAGAAAGTTTAATATTTCACTTTGCGGGGTTCGGAAACGATGCAGATGGCAACGGCGCGCACCGCCGCGACGCCTCCGTCTTAGTAACTTCACCGAACTGATGGTTCCATCATTAAATGAAAAAGTGGAAATAATATACAACTGTTTATCGCTAAAAAAACACCCCATCGATCAATGTAAATAATTACCACAGTAAAACTTATTAACAAATACAATCATTGTCTGCACGCATACGTGAAGTAATTTTACAACACTACCTACTTCATTTTCATTGAAAATTAGTGTTGTTTACAGTGTTTACACTAGTGCTTTTTACAGTTCTAAACACTGTTTAATCAAGGGGTTGTCATAAAACAAGTGAAACTCAACCAAGCCTAATTGGAAACGTTCGAAAAAAAGCTCAAACCATTCTTAACTGCTGTAGTATATTACAAATATGCTAAAACTGTCTCAATAAGGATATAGCTTTCAAAACATGAAAGAACTTTCCACTTCGGTTATCTAATTTCGGAAATTACCGCCATATACTATAACTAAATGAACAAACTAATCCTTTCCCTTTGTAATACAAGTGTGTAAAAGACAAGTATTTAAAACAAA